CTGGGTTCTATGCCGATTTGCGCTCCCCAGATCAACCCCGCTGACGGGTGATTGCTGTGGCAAAAAGATCGATAGAAATAGCTGAGAGACGTGCGAAACAAAGGACCCGCATGGTGTGGTGGTGAACGCGTTACTCCCCGGAAAGGATAATAGCGCGTTCGTTCCCCACCATAGACACCTGCGGTCCAGAGTTTTGCAAATATCTCAGCAACGTTGTGGTTGTATTTCGCTTAGTAACCTGCCATGAAAATTATAGAAAGGCAGAAAACAAAACGTTAAACATTGTGTAAAGATGGGTTATGTGAAAATAAAAAAAATTCAGTAATACAGTCATACTAGAACTTATAGTCATATTAAAAGTTCCGCTAATAGAGTGGCTTTCGCACGCGCTGGTTTTAATGTATATTGAAAAAGTCTTATTGGCCAGTGTCCATTCATTTCACTGTATTTTCTTCGTGAACGTTTATTTTACCGCACAGTTCTTTTCCGCTATACTTTTTGAATTCAATCAATAGTTTTTAAAATGGAGATGTTTTTGCAAGAGTAGTTTGAGAAAAGCCATATTATACACTTCATAACTACAATGATGCTGAGACATTTGCAAAGCTCCGGACCCGTGGTGCCCGCGGTGAGGAACGAACGCGCTCTTACCCTTTCCGGCGGCTAACGCTTTCACTACCACACCATGCTGGTTCTTGGTATCGCCTCTCTCTTGATTAGTTCTATTGATCAGTGCCATCAGCATTCGTCTGTCAACAGGACTGACCTGGGTTGCCTAAATCGGCTGTGAACCAGGTTAAGCTGAGGATGTAGTCGAAATCACAATGTTGACTTTTTATTTAATGCCTATTACAACTTTTCAAGGCAGGGTATTAAGTGTAGAGTTCATAATTTGCAGAATTCTACTTGGACAAGTTTGTTTGTCAGCAAAATCATGAGTAGTTCATTCATTTGAGACGTTTCGTTGAGTAACTAAGTGATTCGCACTGGTACTTCGCGATCGGTGTGCGATGGCATTCAAGTTTTCTGTTGTGAATAAAATATGTCGCTCTAGATCAGGTTCTTAATAAATCGCTGTCCATGGAGCAGGCAAAGAAAACAGGATACTCCCACAAAACACAGCAAAACACAATGGTCATCAATTCCTCGATGGAGGAGGATAATCGGCACTCGGCTGTGCATCTTGTACCATTTCTTCCCAGCTTATAAGGAACCTGATTGCTATCAGATTGAAAAACCAACGACATCCTATAGCTCTGAAATTTACGTTGAAAATTCCTGGTCAGGTGCCACGAGTTCTAGAATACAGAAGGGAGGAATTAGGTGCAGCAACATTGTTCCCTCTATCTTTTGATCTTGAAAACTCTTCCATTTTCTTTGTGCTAACAAAGGCAGCAATCCGAGTAAGTGTCGATAGTGATTGTGGCGTTTTCGTGAACTTTTTATGACTTGTTTCTGCCTTTCTCATTGCCACTTTTAGAACTTTCATGCTTTTCAGAGGGCCTTACTCCCAAGCCAGTGGTGAACATGTTGAAGACTCAGACGAAGGACCATTTACTCTGTATTTCTATTAAAAGCCCATTTCTGAACTATTTGCGTGGTTTAAATATCAAAATATCAACGTTGTAATCGTGATATCACGTGTGCTATTTACGTTCTACATCGTCTCTCACCGAGAACTTCTAATGTTGTCCCGCCTGTTTACGCATTCTGTGCTCCTATGTGAGACCGTCTAGTGTCTGGAAATCTTGGATTGTCGTTTTTAGTTCGTTCAAATCTGATTGCAAGCTCGTATAGAAGCGATTTCTCCGTTATGCGTGCTCAAGAAATGTTTGGCTATGCAGTTGTGATCTCGACGGCTCTCCTATGTGAAGGTTGGTCAGCTTCGTAGGTCTGATCATTTTTAGCTTAAAACTGTTGTAGCAAGCCTTCGTTTGTAGACTCGATTGGGGCTTTTGTGATCCTACAGTTTTATAAGTTATGCTCTTAACTCTCTGACTACACTAACTCTCTAAGCATAGGTTGAAGCTGAAAAGCATCCTTTACAGCCGTTTCGTTCAATTTGTTACGATTCGCATGCGCGAGAAATTCGACGCTCGCTTTCTGTCACTCTCATCAGTTTGGTACGTTCCCGATGCATTACACTCTCACTTTCGCCTTGTTAATCTCCCCCTTTTCAAATTACTTCGTGTCATCAAACATTTTGATGATAATTCTAGAGGAACCATATTGGATATCAGCAAACATTATTCCTAAGTTTTTTGAACTATTCGTTAACTTCTAAAAAATTTCATGTTAAACTACGACTGTGGAATGCGTGTGGCAGTGGTCGGAGGCGCCCTGCAATACACATGGGATAGATTCTGGCGCCACAGGCCCACCAAGTCTTCTATACCTCCGGGGTCGGAAAATTAGTGCCACGCTTACTTGTCCGGGAGGATAGCAGCACTGACTCGATTCATCGGTAGGCCACCGCGAGTCATTGTAAAGGCCAGGTGTGCATTCAATCACTTCCAAACGATGCTTAATGAAGTCGAATGCATGACCCATCTCTCAGGGATTGATCAACGACGAGAACTTTCTTACCCAACTAAGATCCTAGCTAAATTACCCAAAAAGCATTTACAAGTATAAGCTCGTTAAGTGATATCGAGAAATTTTTTGATTGTTCTTGTGCTTTATCTTGCACTGTTCAACAAGGATAAGACTAAATGTGTATGTACAACTCTAACGAAAGTCTATACGAGGTGGTGAGAAAGCATGATCTCTTTTCGAATCACGTTTTACAAAGGAATCCAATACACGTAGAAGTTTAGGTGATCCTACGACCACTTCTACCCGAAAACCTTCGACGGCGTCACCAGGAATGAGCAAGGCTGCGGCCGACGACGTCGAGGGGGTGGACGCGCAACTTCTCACCTGGCTCAGCGAGCAGAAAGACGAGGTGCACGGCTAGCTACTCATTTTAAAAGAAAGCTCTATGATATATCAAGTCTTCTTTCAATCGATCAACATAGAGTGATTGTGATCGATCTTATTCTTTATGCTTATCGATAGGGAATTTTTCGTTTTCCACATCGTCAATATGAATACAGAGTCCTTCATACATTGTAAATGCATATTCAATTAATTAATAAAACGCGACGTACAAAGAGGAGCATGGAAATTCTAAAGATACGCGTCAAAAGGCCGATGTTGATTAGAATGAAGATGTTACGATCTTCTACAAAGTGCAAATAGCAAAAGTCAAGATAGACGGAACGAAATTGTTTTTCACGTGAATTCTTCTGAAATTCTGATTTTGGACATACAGCGTCTATGTTTTTGCAGGCTAAAAGTAAGTCTAAGGTTTTATTCTCTTGGTTATTTAAAGATGCGTCAACAACTTCAGGAAAAATTGCAATTGGAGCATTATAAGCAGTGTCTACCTCCAATTTTGATTTGTTACCTTTGCTTACACTTACTTGGATACTTCGATGGCCCGTCCTCACAAGTTGTGTGGACCCCAGCACAATCTCCATTTTCCGGAGATTTGCTGGCTTAGCCATTTTAATTTCCTTGAGTACCGAGGATAGCCTGGCCAAAGTCTGCCACAGGTCGTCACCACCGCAAGCAATCGCAGCTCTTGTGGATCAGAGTGGGATTTGCCACCATGCGACTGGTTTCATATCAGGACGGTGGTGGATCCTGGTATTGGTTTACTCTTAGCTAGACTTCCTGATGGAAACGCCGAACTCCTTCTCAGCTCGGGTGACGCTACCAGGGGCATGAGTTCCTCCGCTGTACATCGCAGCCCGACAACCAGGAACACCTCCCGGCCACGATGAGGCGGTAAACCGTTGGGAGGTCTTTGCTTATGGCGGACCGTAAATCTATTAGGATCAGATAAATAAAATCTCCATTGTAGGCAAGCAAGACATTCATCGAGAACTTGCTAGTGAGCACGATGTTAGCTATAAATCTTCGTTTTAAAGATTACCAGTGAGATTCTAGATACCCGACAAGGAAGTTGACACTGAAGAACTCGAAACTACCCAGCAGAGACATAGAAGCAGGGCAGGATATTGTTCGAAATACAAGGTATCACATTACAGTAATAGAACACTTTCTTTCGATGTGCCTTATAAAAGATTTTCCTTTGAAACAAGTATCCTTTACAGGTCAACTTTGGTAACTACTGCAAAAGTGGAAACGTGGACAACCTGAACCATGTGCTTCTACAGTTCTGTACCAGCTACACACATCACTGTGAAGTCGTTAGGTAAGACAAGGGAACTCTTTGTAGACCGATATCGTTGCTCCGTTATTTTCTCCGAAACATCGTTTTTTTGGGAAACCTGAGTTAGAAACATTTGTTCTCATGAGCCTTATTTCGTGTACTAAGTTTGTGCCTATCATACTGGAATCTGACGTAGATTTTTAGGAAGCATTTTTTTCATTTATCATGTGGTGACGGAGTGGAAATGCGTTTACGCCATTTTCCACAAATTGTTGCCTTGCTCTTAAATTTTTCTGGATTTACTATTCAAAGTATGAGAATGACGTATGAAGTAAGATTCGCCGTGTATCAAAATCTTCCGCTAGTTTAGCGTTATGGCAAAAGAAATTGAAGAAACAGAAGATTTCCCGGAGACTGAGGAAGCTGATTCAATAATTCAGTCCGGGGCCAACGGCCATGGAAGCGATTCTACAACGGTAAATTACTACCCCTATCTGTAATTTAATAGGCTGCTCAAACATAGAACAGGTATATATCCGACTGGTGAATGCTCATTCCATATTTTAAGGGCTGTGAAATAATCCCTTATTCTAAAGTTCGCAAGAGTGTACCGCTTCGAGTTTATGAAAGAGATTTACGCGGTTGTATGACTAAACTGTTTAGTATGCAGATACTATCTCATCTCTTGACGAAGGCCTATCGTTTTTTCTGTGTTCACGGTTCTAGGTGCAATTTTTGAAATTATCACGTCTCTATCTTTTATTTACTACCCACTATTTTTTAATGGCAGCGTATTATGTGGAGTATAACAATAATGATGCTGTGATATTTGCAATACTCCAGGCCGCTGGTGTCTGCGGTGGGGACCGAGCAACGTATTACGCTTTCCAGTGGCTAACACGTTCACCACAACACCATGCGAGTCCTTCGTTTCGCCTTTCTCCCAGACCTGCTATTGACCTATCAGCATTCAACCAACAAGGTTGATCGAGGAACACAAATCGGCATTGGACCCAATTAAGCTGAAGCTGTGGTATAAATCACGTTGCCGTCAATTTTTATTTACTGGCTACTATTTTTTAATGGCAGGGTATTATGTTGAATATAACCACAGTGATGCTTAGAGATTTAGAAAACTCTGGACCGGTCAATAGCACGGCTGAGAGAAAGGCGAAATGAAGGGCGCGCATGGTGTGCTGGTGAACACGTTAAGCCTCGGAAAGGGTAATAATGTGTTCGGCCACTACCGCAGATACCAGCAGTCTGCAGTTTTGCAATTATCTCAGCATCATTACAGTTATCTTGTCACTCTTTTTTAACCCTATAGTAGTAGAAAAAAGCTGAAACTATGTTGTTTACAGGCGCAGAAAGTTTCCCAGTACTGCGAGAAGTACTTGGAGAACTTCAATTTTTACTGTGCTGGGCAAAGTTCTCCTGAATATGAGAAGTTCTGTCGCTCGTTTCGGCAGAATTGTCCGCAAAAAGTCGGCTCGTAAGTGATCATCTGTAAGAACCATTATTCTGTATTTGATCATTGCAATTGAATCTCTGCCTGACTTGCAGCATCATGTGTTTAGCGGAACTTTGTCGTAACACGAAAGAAAGTAAATGATTTGTCTGAAGAAAGGAAGCGTACTCATACCCATTGCTGGTTATCTCCATTACCTACTCTCTTTACTTATGCTAAATAGAGTTCAAATGTATACTGTAATAGTCTTTCTTTAAACCTTTTAGTAGGCTATTTGAAAACCCTCTAGGTCAAAATGAATGGAACCTTTTTCGCTAGTCAACGAGGTTTTTATCAATTTATCACAGAGATCCGAATGGCAAAACACCAAGTTGCCAAGCTATTCGGCGTCCTCGAATTAGTAACTAGTAGTTAGTGCATCTGGACATTTGTGAGATAAGACTTGATGGAATTCAGTGCCTACAAACATCATGCGCTGAACGGTCAGTCGTGAATGTGAATTTGTTTCCTCCAGAAGTGAATGTTTTTTTTGAAATTTTTCCTTTTTTATTTTTCTTATAAAATGTCTGATTTAGACTGAAGGAATCGGGATCGTTTCTGGGCGGAGAAGGAAAGGTATGAGATAGAGATAAACAGGAGTCCTATAATGTTATGGAATAAATGTATGCCATTTCTGTGAGTTTGTTGGTAATTTGAGACTTGGGATGGATGGTCTACCAAATGCTGCCCTGGTTTTTCCATTTCATTTATTGATTGAACAATGAGCGGCGCCAGCGGTAGCAATGCTGTTGATCACGAACACGACGAGTGGCTTAACCCCGTCTCGGGCTCACCAAGCCTCTCATCCCTTCGGGGTCAGCAAATTGGTGACAGACTTGCATGTACCTAACAAACTCCCTCGAATACACTCAGGAACGCGCTAGCGCACCATGTCAAGACTTCAGGTAGGATCGAATTGACCACCATTCAACGAAATTCATAAATGAGACAACAATCCTCAAGCAGCATCCAAACCCACACGTGAAAGGTTGAAAGACGTTGGTGGATGTTAGATACAACGAAAGGAATTGAGATTATAATAATAATAATAATAATAACTTGTTGAGTGATAGCAAACTGTGACGGCCAACAATATTCGTCCGTTTGTGATCGTTTTGATGAGAATTGCCTTTATTTTCCTTTCGACAAAATTAATGGGAACTTACTATTTACACTGAAGAAAGACAAGCAAGCAACAACATCCATGTCGTCGATGAGTGGCGAAGTGTTAGCTCGTTTAGTGAGGTTGCTGACCGTTTTCGCTCTGCACCTGTATAGAAACGCCTGTGACGGGTTGGAGGGTTGGAGGAAAGGCAAGCTCGATTATGCGGTCTATAAGAAACGTACATTCTGTTGGAGCAGTACAGTCCACGTCTATCTTGCCAGTTTCGAAGCGTTGTGATATCTAGACCCTTCCTGTCGATTACTTCTACATGCATATTCCGCAGTTTTTGTAGGATTAAGTGATTTTGAGGCAATTATTCTCTCTCAGCGTTTCATCAAGGTCCAAAGAATTTCATTTGATGAATTTCTCTGCCGAAGACGAAGTTATCATGAATAACTGCTGGTGTAAATTACGCCTTCGGAAATCATCAGGTGTTTCGTCTCGGTGTAAGTGAACTGAATTGAACGTTGTCGGCTGCCATATGGGATCCAATCCACAAACATATAACATTTAGACGCATAAATGATCTTTTTTTCTTAACGCAAAGGCAGCGCAAAACAAACTTCGTGACAAAGATTTTTCCTCTGTTCATTTAATTCGTGTGGTAACCATTCATCGATCTTTTTCACCTTTCTATTGTTTTTCAAATGACATTCGATAACGCAACTGTGAATTATGAGCTTTCCACAACTTTTCGTGGACTTTTTGGAGTGCCAACATCGATTGTAGTCTCCAGATAGTCGTGGCCACCTCCTGGCAGACGATCACGACGTTGTTCATCATGGATAATCATATCTCCTGTACCAACCTCAATTTCAGGCCATCTGCGTGCTGGCCGTTTTAAAGCTATTGTCTACTCTCATGGTGGTAAATCTTTCTCTGATCCATAAGGGACTGCCCGTGGTGGTGAAGATTTGAGGCAGACTTAGACCAGGCTGTCCTCTGGACCCCAGGGAACTACAATGGCTAAACCAGCAATTCTCCGGGAAATGGAAATTATACTGGGACTCGCACAACCAGTAAAGACGGGCCATCCAAGTATACAAGTAATAGATGCCCACGACACAACACAAGAAGTCTTTTCTTAGATAACTCGAAAGACCGACTTTCTATGAACCTCGGCATAGATAGTTAATATATTTATTTATGTGATCTTATAAACTGATCTTCTTAAGCTGACGCGAGGTTGGCTCTGAGGAAGGCGAAGCCGCCGAAACGTCAGCCATCGTTCAATAACATCAAAAACAACGACAACGACAACGACAACGAAGATCTGTACCAACCTCGTGTCAGCTTAAGAAGATCAGTTTATAAGATCACATAAATAAATATATCTTTTCTTAGATGTTACACAATCCACCCCTTTCTGCCAATAGAAAAGCGCAAAATGTTCTGACAGCTTCGTATTTAATATGAAATTAAAATATCACAGGTCGATGAGTCGGAAGGTGAGGGCACTCCAACGAGTAGCGATACACTGTACCTCTATAAGGGCACTCGTGAAGATTACTGCAACAAATTCTCCGTGCACTATGAGTTCTACTGCAAAGGGAGTGGCGTCAACACAGAAATCACGACCAAGTTTTGTCCTTTCTACAAGAACAGCTGCAAAGAGCATTTAGATAGGTTTGTTAAAGTGTCTCACACAATGTTTTTGAAAAGTGAACGAAACATGGCTTTCGTCAGGCTTTAAATTGGAATTAAACTCAACCACCACAAATTTCTTATACTTCCAGTATTAAATGGGAAATTCATCTGGAACGCTATGGCCCTCAAGCGAGAATCCTTTTTTAATCGGCCACCCTTTAGGGTACGATCACGAATACCTGGCGGTGGACAACCCAACTATGCAAAGCTGTTTGGATTTTATTGCACAGTCTCATCTAAATAGAGCAATTACTTTTAAACACTGCTTCAGGTTTTTCTGACTGAGTCCACTAGCACACAAATCGAAACTGAAAATTTAGACCGGCAGAACCATTCAGTAAAAGCGTCTCCTCATCGAACATTCCATCCGAAAGTGGCAACGAAGGTGACAACTTTCCAGATCTGGATAGCCGCAAGGTTTCTGATTAATTCATAATTATGCTTTTTTGAACAACAACCGTCCATATTTGGCAAACGGGAGCTAAATGCATCAATTTGGCCTTTGAATTTTTTATAGATAGGTCAATGTTTTTTTCTCATACAGCTTCTTTACGCGCTGTAGAGATATGCTATGGAATATTCCAAAATGTCCTCCAAAGGATGGTTAAACTCATGGGGCTTGTAAATTATAACAACAAAAACAAACTGAACAAACAATGAACTTGCTACACTTGTACACTGATCGTACGAGCAACTGTACAATGTCTAGCTGATCCTTCGATTGATCCTTCAAATCAATCCTTAAAACTTAGTGAACATACTGACACTTCTCGAGAAGCCAGCTCGGCGAATATCCGAGCATGTTGCTCATGAAATCAGAATACTTAGTTACTATCACTTCACTCCTGAAGAACACTCCAATTGCGTCACTGAGAGGGTAATATGTTGTTGGCTACGCACATTTGAATGAAACTGGGGTGAAAGGAGGTGTCCGTCTGCCATTCGGTGCTGCTGCTTCCGCTTACAACAAAATTCTGGAAAGAGACGAATGTTGGCATGTATACCACATCTAACCTCTATGTTCTGGAGTCTGCCCGGAAAAGAACTTTGTAAAGTCAGCTGAGATGGAAACCATTGTCTTGAAATTTCTTTTGCGCTGTTATAGGACCTCTCGGTTGGAAACGAGGTTCACTTTGTTTTCTTTACGAAAAATCTCGATCAAACATCATGTTTTTCATGATTCCACATTTATCACACAACCACTACAATTACCAATACAATACAAAACTACAATAAGCCGCTTGAGTCTCAGTCCTTAGAGACTTTTCCCACTTATTAATTTTCTCTTCACAGCACCTTAGCCACATAATATCGGGATTTGAGCAGTTTTACGACTTTCGGTAGACTTAGGCTTGGAAGAAGATTCGAAGTAAGAAGCGAGGTGGACAATAAAAGGGTGTAAGCGAGGAAGCACCAGCAACATTTCATGGAATAATTTTCCTATATGAATGACAAGAGACCCTCAGTTTAATTAACGTTCGGTAGATCTTCTTGTTTTTCGCCTTCTGCAAGGCGATCAAGTGGAATTTGCTGCAACCTGCAACTTCAAGAAGAACGTGGTGATCGGCGCGAGAGAAAACTAAGGAAGTGAATCGTTTCAGATGCAGAGCAACAAGTCCCTGACATGTTGCCTCCAACTGAATGGGAAACTGAAAATTGGTGATCTTTCAACAGTTATCTCAATATCGGAAGTCCAACGGGTGTGCATTTAGTGCCCGAGGTAGTGAACGCTGTTTATTGCTTGTTGAGCAATTTATTCTTGATTCGGAACGGTGTAGTATAGTGAGTATCTGGTAATTGTTGACATAAAGGTGTAATAGGTTGACCGCTCACTCGAATACAATGTAGCAAGTGGAATGCCAACTATGGCAGTTATTGTTATATATTCGATTCTGTTCCGAGCCAACCGAGTCTATCATCCCTGCGGGTTCGGAAAATTGATTCTGGACTTGTCCGGGAAAAAAATCACTTTCTGCAATCCAACTGAGAACGCTCCAGCCCGTCTATCTCAGGACTCCAGGGAAAATTGCTCGACTAGCATTCTACGACATTCAAGATGGAATGGAAATCCTCAAGCAGCTGCCGAAGCCACACGTAAGAAGTTGGAAGATCTTCGTGGACAATGGATACGACGAAACGAATCAAATATGAGAAGTGCTGGGATCCGCACAGTAGACGTGAAGACGGATCAAATAAGATAAAACAAAATAAAATAAGATACAATATTATACATCGGACAGTGAAGCGTATTCTTATTGAAGAAACTCAAAAAACAGGAAAGGAAAACCAGATTAGAAATGAACACAAATCGATACTGTTTCAGCCCCCATCACGAAAAAGCGAACGAAAAAGGTATGAGGAAAACAAGTAGGCTGAATTTCTTCTAGGAGTGTTTGGCCTGAAAAGGAGTTAGTTCATCATCGGTTCCGCTTCAGACGCCCATGTACCGCCGACTGTGACCAACGCATCTTCCCACACTGCACACAGTCTTGTAAATGCGACTACGCGTACCCTTCAGTTCAGAAATTTTGCAATCCTCCTCCACTACCTCTATTTCTAAACACATGCAGGTAAGTTCATAACCTTTAAAGACAAGCTAAAGCATTCTCAATGGAATACAGAGCATCACTCTGATGTATCTTTAAAGTCATTCCATTTACCTAAGAAGGGTTGTACGGTAATTAACCGAGGCATTCCGTACGTATTTAGTTCCCTGCATAGTCGTGGCGGTTTGTTTCATTGGATGAGTCTGAACCAAGTAAACATGAAAATTTAGCAAAAGTGGCATTTCTTCGATTTTTAAGTCCTTGCTGAATGTTATCATTGAGCTAATGTATCGTCTGAAAATAAACACCAAAATTTAATAGAGCATTTTAAAACACCAAAACGGTAAAGTAGCTCTTGGCTCTAATTTTGCTATAATTCTATTTTTTCTTTCTATTTTTCATCAGCTTCATCGAGTTAGTTTATTTATGACTTAAATTGGAACAATGCTGGTCATCATCACATTTGTGACGGTGTGACAATACTTAAGTAGGGTTAGCGACAAACAGTCCTAAAATATCTCCAGTGACGATAATACTGCTACAGACACACGGAGATTAGATAATAGGGATCGGGATCGTTTTCTTTTGGGAGGTGGGGGGCGGGGAAGTCGGTGCACCAGACCGCGGCCGTTCACGCAATGAATACCGAAGAAATGGACGTCTCATTTGATACTAAAAACTAGACAAATACGTTAACTAAAAAGATCGAATTCTCATCAGGTTGTGGTATGCCGGATGTCCGAAGTACGAACGTTATCATTATGCCTCTCAATTCATATATTCGAAAGCAGAGAAAGGAAAGAGAGTTTGTAAGTATCATCGAAGTCCTAAAAACTGCTTCAACTTAATGTTTGGCGTAATCAGTAACATACATGCTTTGCAGTATTGCCCTCGACCCAGAGACTTTTCAATGTTCTTTCACCGACCGGTGAACGAATTCCCGTCGCAGTTCAGCAGCCTGGTTCCAAAAATATCGCGAGGTGAGCTCTACAAGAAATTATAAAAATTCCCAAGACCGACTTTCTGTTAACCTCGGCATTAATTGATAATTCAATGTTTTCCGTTTAATAAGCAGACACGAGGTTGTTAGTATAGAATTTATTAGAATACAATAGCTGACGTTTCGGCGGTTTCGCCTTCTTCAGAGCCTGGAAAGGTCAAATTGAGATGTGATCTACTCAGCCAAACACTTTCATAACCCTAGCAGATAAAACTTGACAAATTGATTTGCATTCGCGTAAGAAACAGCTTCATTCAAACGCCTACCGTTTATTCGTTGCAAGTATTTAAGTTAGTTGATGGTTAGCGACCGCACAGAGTAATACATGGGCGATAACTGTGTGTGTCAGGTCATTGGATTAGCCTGAGGTATGGCGCCAGGTCACGCGTGATGACAAGACACTCCTCTTTGCGGTTCATTTTTGAATTTTTGGCATTGATCCAAAACGCTTCAAGAGTTTTACGCGCTGATGTTTTCGATTCCTGCGTAAGGTTAGTGACTCCTACCTCAAAGTCTTCTCCGTTGTGTTCCTGCATTCTATGCGCGCCTAGTGGAGTATTTTGTTTTAGTTTAGATTTACCGACTAGGTGTTCTTTTATGCGGACGCAGAGCGGTCTACCCGTTTCGCCAACATATTCGTGCCCGCACGCTTTACAAGAGATCAGATAGACTGCCCGAACCCATGCAATCACCGTCTCTACCGTTTGGGCAAATTATGCAGTTTTTTGTTGTACATAGACGGTCGTATAGGCGGTTGCGAACTAGCTGGCGTCTTAGAGTGTCCGGTGGTATTTCTATCACTCTTACGGAATTCTCTAGACCGGCCCTTACTAAGCAGCGTTTTATAGCTGCACTTATTTCGTTTGAAATAAAGGACAACAGGAACGGAGCCTTGTTTTCGCTAGAATTATCGCTTTGGGGCGTGGGATTTCCTCGTTGCCTATGCCTAGAAGCTACAGTTTCGTAGCCATTTGAAATGGCTATTTGCCGCGCCAGTTTCGAGGATTCTTCCCTCTGCTCTCTACCTGTGCACACGCTGTCGGCGGTTCGAAACATATTTCTTATAAGCGCCCTTTCAGTGTGTGAGGGATGACAGGAAAGGTAATGAACCGCTATATTCTTACTGCTTGGCTTTCGATACCATTTTGTGTTGTAGCCGTTCTCGGATAGGTTAATTTGAACGTTTAGAAAACCTTCAAATTCAATTCAAATCACTATCCTTACGCAGGAATCAAAAACATCAGCGCGTAAAACTCTTGAAGCGTTTTGGATCAATGCCAAAAATTCAAAAATGAACCGCAAGGAGGAGTGTCTTGTCATCACGCGTGACCTGGCGCCATACCTCAGGCTAATCCAATGACCTGACACACACAGTTATCGCCCATGTATTACTCTGTGCGGCGGCTATCCATCAACTAACTTAAATACTTGCAACGAATAAACGGTAGGCGTTTGAATGAAGCTGTTTCTTATGCGAATGTAAATCGATTTATCAAGTTTTACCTGCTGCGGTTATGAAAGTGTTTGGCTGAGTAGATCACATCTCAATTTGACCTTTCCAGGCTCTGAAGAAGGCGAAACCGCCGATACGTCAGCTATTGTATTCTAATAAATTCTATATTAACAACCTCGTGTCTGCTTATTGAAGAAAAGTATTGAATTATAAAAATTCTTAATTCATCTTTAAGAGATTGCGGTCACTCGAAAATGCTAAGCGTGCCGAATACAGAAATGGTTCACATCCATTCATTCTGTTTCGCAAGGTTAAATACGTTAATATTTAGAGACGATCCACTGCGTGACAGCGTCGACTGGGCTTCTTCAATGGTTTTGAATCCGGATGACTTCGAGCCCTCATCTAAGGTTCGTAAATGAAAATTTCTCACAGCTATTTTCATAACTTTTTCTACTTTCACTATTCCTTCTTAAAAGAGGCATTTTTAATGAACTAGGACTGTTTCGAATAGAGGGCGACAGCTTCACATTAACCTGCGAACGCACGAGAGACATGCATGGTTATCGCAGTCCCATTTGCATGCATCGTATCCATATTATTCGAGCATCCATGCACATTGAAATTTTAAGCACTTCTTCTGTGCCGTAGTAATGGTTTCGATCAACGGACCAATCTTCATCGTACTGAAAGATTAGTACTGAATTTTAGACTGCGATGTCGGGATGTCCAACCGCAGGCTTATCCTTTTCAGGGTTTTGGGAACTAAGAATGAGTTAAATGTTTCAATTAGAAAGGTCGCGTAGGTAAACGTATATTAGATACAGATACTAGTGATGTTCTGAAAAAAGTTGTCGCAAGATGGGCTCCTCTCATCTTTAGGACGCCTCTTTGGGAAGAATTGAATTTTGTAAGATGTAATAAAAAAATCAAATGTGCTTTGGAATCTCATAACAGTGTGGTACACGTGCAGCTCGTCTAAACCTAAAATGTACCGCCATGGGTGATCTGAAGGAAACATGCTATGTATAAAAAAGGTAAAGCATAAAGCTCTCAGCGTTTTTTAATCCGTGAGCCATGCGCTATGCATTCGACTTAGAGGTGGCCTAGAAAATGACTCGCAGTGTACCGAGTCAGTGCTGCTATCATCCTAGACAGGTATTGTACCAATCTGCTGACTCTGTAACGATGGAAGGCTTGGTGAGTCTGTGGCGCCGAATCAAAACCACGTGTATTGCAGGGCGCCTTTAACTTCTGCGCTATACGCTCCGCTTTTTGCGTATAATAATAACATTTTACCTGGCACGTCGAAGAATATGTCAATAGCTGTGAGCTACTTTTTGTTAAAAACAAAACTATTCCGATTATGTCTCAGTTCTTTAGTGGATGCGTTCGGATCGCATTGCTATAATCACCCAGGTTTTCAACGATATTGGATGGAAAGGCAATGAGAATAAGGACAGAAAAAATCTGAATAACTGTTATTTTACTAGTGAACGCAATCTTCCGATACCGGTCTTTTTGGAAGGATATGGAATTGCTGATACTTCCTGTCATGATACGGAACAATTAACAAAAAAGTATTATTCCAGCCTTTTCCAATCTATAACCGATCTTAGGCTCTCTCCTATGAAACTGGCGTTGCAGTGAAGGGCATCAGGTCGAGTTTCATTCGGACAGTTGGAAGTCATTATCCATAAATCCGTATTCCTCAAACTCGTGAAACAACATGCCTTCGAAAAGAAAACTAAAAGTCACGTACCTGATCAACTTGCTAGTTGTAATTGCTAGTAATATTTGAGGCGCTCTTAGACATATGTGGCACGTCTTTCTTACGGCTTTCGTTTTTTCCACATGAAGTTTGTGTACCCTGTGTATTCACTCGTTAGCTTCTGATACAATTTTGCTTAAGGATTCGGCTAATAAAAGCCCTATTTTGTACATATTGTAGTTAGCAAAAAGTGGCGATTTGGTCGCCATGGCCTTGCATGACCCCTGGCGCAAGTACTCTGTGCGTCATTGCCTGCGCATTGAAAGTGCTTTACGACTTATTGTCAACTGAAATTCTATTGCGTAACTCAAGGGTGTTCGTGAAGCCCAATAAAGTGGGTGAGCAAGGTTTGCTCAGCGATTTTGCTATTTGAGTGGCATCCAAATCTTCACTAACTGGAACTATAGCTAGAGGGATAGAGTTGCAGTTTTTTGACAAGAGGTTCACCCATCCTTATGCTAAGTTATGTTCTGTCGATCACGAAAAGGGTATCGACAAGACATAAAAATTCGCCATTGTATCTGAGCTCGTCGTACATGGTTTGTACCTATGACCTGGAGCTGATCTGTTGCAATTTCACAACGTCCTACGGCTCGTCCTCTTATCATTCTAATAGGAAAGGAAGCGAGAAATCTCGCCTACATTTTTCATCATCGCACTGCAATGACTAACGAAGCGGCTCGATAGGGGAGAGAAGAAGTGACAAATGTGCCGCGATTTCTCTGTACTTTGCCGACAGCAAATAGTTCCCTACCTTTTCTCCCAACTAACGTACAAAATATGTTGAATGGTGGTAAGCTAATTTGAGTGATCAACACGTATTTTTTGAAATATGATTTGATTGGCTCTTCCATGGAATTCTAAGGTCTCCAGAGCTTAAACAATAAGAAGTCGTTGATCTTTCTGTAGGATTTTCGCCATTAGTCGACCGCTATATCAATAAGTATAGCAAGTCGAATCTCTCAACACCGAGATGAGTATTTTAAAAGAGCAATAGGAAAACGAAGGGTAGAAAAACAATGTACATTGTAATAATATTTCGAAACCGACTTTCTCTAAACCTCGGTGTGACTAATCAATATGTATTCTTTCTTGATAAGCTTGCACGAGGTTCATAAATATATTTATTTTCGGCTAACGTTTCGACGTCTTCGTCTTCCTCAGAGCCGATTGTCCGAGTCGATGGTCCATGATTGTTGTTCATCTCGACGTTGCAGCTTCGCCTTCGTGTCGAGTCAGGTCTTCCTCAGTTAGCCATCTTCTCGAATCGAATGAGGCATCATCACTCAGTGATGCCCTTTTATACACGATGCTGATGGTGGATATATAATGATAATGTCCGGTGGTAACAGCTTGTATTTCTTCCGGGCATACATCGTCGAGACAAACAACAATCATGGACCATCGACTCGGACAATCGGCTCTGAGGAAGACGAGGACGTCGAAACGTTAGCCGAAAATAAATATATTTATCAATCTAATGTACATTGTCTTCCTATTTTTGTTGAGCAAACGCGAGGTGTTACTATTCTTTGTTCACGATTAAGCTGACGTTTCGGGGAATTTCGCCTTCCTCAGAGCCGCTTCCTATGAGGTTTCCACTAAGTATGTCACGTAGAGACCAACCGCACAGAAATCACATGGAGGTATAATTAATCAATGTACAATGTAATAATAATATAATATAATGTAATAATATAATATAATGTAATAGCATAATCAGTGTACATTGTGTTGCTTTTTTAAGAGATTGCGACGGAATGAGCGTGCTTCTGATTTTCATCATCGGCATGCAAAACGGCGTGTTTCTCGAAAAGCGAAGGCTAGAAAGGATTCCCGAAAGAGGTAGCTCTCAGAATCAGTACGATTCCGAACCTCAGTACTTTTTTTTCTACAGGGACGACCCAACTGATGGTGGAACAGGCAGCACTGGTCGAGCTAAGTAAGTTCAATCTCAAATCTTCACCCTTTCACATCAGAAACGCAATTGTAGGATGCCATTACTCATAACGAAACAATCCTAATTTTTTTAAGCCAAATGAAATTGCACATGGTCGTTACCAAGTAGAAACTCTTTACTGTAGCTAATGCTTCTGCACGTTCGCCTTCCTCAGGGTCGTAATGATTCGATTCGAATGTCCAGAATAAAACAAGTAATCTGAAGAAATTTGTATAAAAGTCTACGAATTAGAATGTATCAAACGGTGTGAGAGGCTACGCGAGTTTGTCGTGGGCAACACCAGTTATGCTAATTTTGAACACTAGAAGCTCTCTTTCTAATGTTTCAATAGTGCCGTATTGTAAAGTACTACAGCTAAAGAAAGACACCACCATGTAGTAAACTGAAGGCTTCGCCTTAGTAATGTCAATGTTGTCCTAAAGCTAACCAAAGAATCGGATCTCGAGCCGATTGCCCAATGGGGAGTCACAAGAGCGTTGGGCAACTGGCAAGTTATATCCAGCCTCACCAGATAGAATAGTCACTGTGTAAAGAAGTTTGATGTAAATGGTCATCCATAACTTGTTGTCCGATCTCTTTGATAACCACGTTCACCTGCCTCCATATTATATCATGGATTATGTGCCGTCTAAACGGTTCTCATTTCGAAAGTCCGTTATGGAATCTCACACACCTAATGACCTAAGGTCAGGTTTCCACATCTAGAGCAAATCGAATTCTCATGTTTTTAATCACAATACGGGTTTCCAGATCAACGTAAAACCAGCAAGACAATGTTCCTCTCAAAAAAGGAAAAAGTTTGCGACATTGACAACCTATCTATACCCGATTTAATAAGCCGTTTGCAAGAATCATCCTCAATAGGGCATTTGGGTTGACAAAACATAGCGCAAAGAGCAGCCATACGAATAAGCAGGGTTTCGAAACGCTGCACAACTATGTCTCATACCCATACTATAGCGAAATCTATGAAAGTGTAGCGGAAGTACAAGAGATTTCTTTATTTAACTTTTATAGATTTCGACTTAATTGGGAAATATACGGTCATGGAGTCTCAGAACATTTTTGCTCAGTAAACAAAGATCCCTTAAAAGCTATATAGCAACTGTACAACTTGAATTTTTCCGATGACACTCTCCACAGTGTAAACAGAAAGGTTCCGCAGGAGAACCACATCCCTTGGGAACGAAATACACCTAACGTTCGAAAACGAATAGCCCAAAGTGAGGATGAAGGTTCGTCACCGTTATTAAATCGCCAGGCAGTAGTCAGGCAATCATATGCTGGTCCATTTTCGCAGCTATAGAGATCGCTCTTCGAATGGCCCTCACGATGTCGTTGACAGATGTATTTGTTACTAATGGCCTGTCCACGCCCAACAGAGCAAAAATCTTCGAAAACTCCAGCTGTATGTGCCTCTGTTTGGATCAAGAATGAAACGTGCTGAACGAGTTGGAAACAAAAACCGAACAAGAGGAAACGGTCAATTTGGTGAGCTTACTACTGAAGGCATAATGAGGAAGACATTTGGCCCGAAGTTCGCCCTCTCAGTTACGTGACTCCTTCTTTTCTAACCTACGACTCGGAATCTTGGAGACTACCTAGGGAGAATAAAAGGTCGGTCTGCGGTATCGACCGTAATATCGAATTCGACAGTTTGATGGCAAGGAGGTTTCGGCACCAATATGCCGAGAGAGAACAGGTGCATGGTCGATTGCAGTCCACATGTAATACTGTATAGGTCGCCTGGATATGCGGCACGTAGCTTCGAGACGAAAAGATTCGAAATTCCTCATAGTTAAAGTCTGTAAGGGCGGAATACGCCGAGAATTTCCTGTAATACTGAAAAGTATAAATGACTTTATACCACGTGCAATCGGCGATTTTGGGATAGAATGAAGAGAAGAAGGAAGGATAACTCGTCCATTATGTAAAATGCGATTCATATCAATTCGGACATGGTTATGGGAACGAGATAAATATCCACCAGCATAGGCTGCGTTCGGGCCTCATGGAGAAACCATCAGTCATCTAACGCACTCGAAACACCAAGCTTAATTTTTCCATTTAATATTAGTCTCAGCGCCATGTGCTGCAGCAGAGATGGGACTTCAACTTTGTCAAGAACTCTTCGCTCTATACAAAGCATTTAGGTGACGCGCTCTCAAATATAAGCTCCTTAGAACATACCAGTTCAAATTCCGTTCTTCAGACCAACGAAGTCCATCTTGCCTTCGAGATCGCAATCGACGAGAGAACGAACTTTTTTAGAAAAAAAATCAGCTATAGTCGCAGCTACAAATGCTAGATCATAGGAGGGTACCGAAACAACACTCAGCGAGGTGGCCCACTACCATGTACGACAAATACTTAGCGTAGAAACGGATGCAAAATAGACTGAGGCTCTCATTACTTGTGGCGAAAGGTCGTCCAGACATCGAAATTCGTGGTAATTCGAAAATTGTTGTTGCAGAGACATACCAGTGGTGCCCAGCGATAGTGTGTTCGCCAATGCACTGCAGCAGTACGGAGCTTTCACTGATAGCCAAGGCATTCTGCACAGACCTCACAGCACATCACCATTCACCAAACCAGGTCGGTCCTAATTTATCCATAATTTCAAAGAATGGAGCACTACTGTTACAGTTTGCTAATTCGGGGCTCAGTAAATGAGGACCCGGAATGCACAGTAACTCCTGGTGTTCTTCGAAAGACTACTCAGTGTATTGCCGTTGTTATTATAAATGCTTGACTCGACCGTGAGCACGTGGACAATTTGGTTAACTTGCACCTCGAATAGAAACTAGCTCATGAATAGGAATTACGTGAGCCCCTTAACAATGACATTAACTGTTAAAAAACTCTAGAAAGCTCTCGGCAATGATCAATCCTTGAGGGATGCGTCATGCATTCGATTTCATTAACCACTTTTAATTAAATTCATTTTTAATTTGCAAATTAATGTTCAGGATACAATTTGAAAAGCGATCATAGGGGAGCATGCCAATATGAACGGGTATGATACTGTACGAATAAGCACCATTGTGGTTGTACATCACATAATGTCCTACCATGAAAAAATAGGTAGTAAATAAAAAGTTAAACACTGTAATATCTGAGTGTCTTCGATAAACATTACGAAGTAACAATTGTTTCAATTCGGAGGGCCTACTTATACTTAATTATTAGGTCTGTGGGAAGCTAACCCGGATAATCCACACAACAGGGACCATGCGAACAAGTTTTTCTACCGTCCGGAATCCTTCAACGCTGATTGGTTGAATGGGCAGGTTGGTTGAGTTGAGAAAATTTCCCTTTATGCGACTTGTGGAACGCTGACTCTTAAATCCATGTACTCAGTCCTCTTTGTGAAAATCATGGACCATGAGATTAAGCCCTCCGCTATTTCGCGAGCATAAATCTAATTCCTTGTTCCATTAGTAGAGAACTATTCCAACCCACAATTCTTTAACTTCCACTTAGTGCTTTTTTCGTACTTGGACTTTTTTCTTACAGTTGGCGTGGGGAGCCCATTTTGCTGTACCAGCTGTTGGTGTGGGAGGAACCGATGGCTTCAGTTCTCTCTACTTTCCTAATGCTGGATCCTTTCTTAATATTCCCGACGATTATGACTAGGCTTACTACTGCATGTATGGACATAGTATTAATTGTTAACTATTGATAATATGAATTTATAATGCATTGTATTTGTATTGTATTTTTAATGCATTATTTGTAACAATACGTAATATTACTCTTATTGTATTTGTGGTACAGGGAGGGGAGACAGCGAAGTGGTCGTGATGTCCGTCATCACAGGCATGGTGCTAGTTCAACTCCGCTCCACCCAACTAAGCCCATCATCCCTCCAGGGTCGAGAAACTGGTACGGGACTTATCTGGGAAAAGAAACTATTCCCTGCAGTCCAATTGGGAACACTCCAGCCCGGCTATCCCAGAATTCCAGAGAGATTGCTCAACCAGCATTCTACGACATTAAAGATGAAATGGAAATCCTCAAGCAGCAACCGAAGCCACGGAAGATTTTCGTGGACAATGGATGAGAGGAAACGAATCGAATGTGAGAAGTGCTGGGATCCGCATAGTAAACGTGAAGACGCATCAAATAAAATAAAAAATGTAAAAACTGACAATACACTTTCGTAGTGGGATAGATAAAAAATGAGAGCAAATATTTCGGCATTTATCATTCCTAGAGGGATACGCCATGCTTTCAATTTCAACACACATCTTAGACGAGATTGAATACACACATGGCCTATACAATGACATGCGGTAGTGTGCCCATCTAGCAAGTCGATGCTTAACCCAGTCGCGATTGCTCCCATTTTTGCCTCTGGTCCAATAGGGTTCGAGCAGTTTTTCGTCGACTGTGAACATTTTGGCTTTTTGACAGTAACAAATAATACAACCACAATGTTGCTGAGATATTTGCAAAACTCTGGACCGCAGGTGTCTATGGTATAATAGCGCGTTCGTTCCCCACCATAGACACCTGCGTTCCAGAGTTTTGCAAATATCTCAGCAACATTGTGGTTGTATTTCGCTTAGTAACCTGCCATGAAAATTATAGAAGGCAGAAAACAAAAACGTTAAACATTGTGATTTCAACTACAGCCATAGCTTAACTGGGTTCTATGCCGATTTGCGCTCCCCAGATCAACCCCGCTGACGGGTGATTGCTGTGGCAAAAAGATCGATAGAAATAGCTGAGAGACGTGCGAAACAAAGGACCCGCATGGTGTGGTTGTGAACACGTTACTCCCCGGAAAGGACAATAGCGCGTTCGTTCCCCACCATAGACATCTGCGGTCCACAGTTTTGCAAATATCTCAGCAACATTGTGGTTGTATTTCGCTTAGTAACCTGCTATGAAAATTATAGAAGGCAGAAAACAAAAACGTTAAACATTGTAACAAATAATGTTTAACGTGTTGTTTTTTGCCTTCTATAATTTTCATGGCAGATTACTAAGCGAAATACAACCACAACGTTGCTGAGATATTTGCAAAACTCTGGACCGCAGATGTCTATGGTGGGGAACGAACGCGCTATTGTCCTTTCCGGGGAGTAACGCGTTCACAACCACACCATGCGGGTCCTTCGTTTCGCCTGTCTCTCAGCTATTTCTATGTCTAGTAACAAATAACTTTTCAATAACTGCAATGGGGAACGCACGTGCTACCACCCTTTTCGTTGATTGGCGCGTTCACTACCACACCATGTGTGTCCCTCGTTTCGCCTTCCTGCCAGCTAGTTTTGTATCTACCAGTGCCATCAGCAATCACCCATCAACCTGTATTCATTTGGTGAGCTCAAACCGGCAATGATCCCAGTTAAGCTGAGAATGCAGCCGAAATCCTAATGTTAATCTTCCATTTACTGTGTGCTATAATTTTTTACAGCAGGATATTTTGCAAATTTCTCAGCACTGTTGTGGTTGTATCACATATAATACCCTGCCGTGGAAAACTGTGATAGGCAGTAAATAAAAAGTTAACGTTGTGAAATTCTCCGTATTTTCAAATATAGCTGTGCTAACACGAAAAAATCCTTTCCCCTTTCGCTAAATCAGAAAGGTGTGGATAGCGCAGTGTTAGTGATGCCTATCATTACGAGGCGCTGGTTCGATCCCATGGCAGGCTTACTATGCTCTTCTGATTTCGGAAATTTGGTATCAAACATGTTTGAAAAAACCTCAGCCTTTGTAATTCAAGTGGTAGAACTCTAAGCCCGACTACCCCAGGACTTCAGAGAGAATAAAGTCGGCCAGCAACCAACGATATTAATGAGGATGATGAAAAGATCTTCAATCAGCAGCCGTACCCATACGCAAAAATTTCGAAGCTCTTCGTAGAGGGTAGACGTAAGGAAACGAATCGAATGTAAGAGATGATGAGGTCCTTACAGAAGATGTGAAAGGCGGTATCACCTGTCGCCTGCAATCCCGTTGATCGTCGAGTGACTCGAGCGGGCGCAAGTAAATTTTCCACTTCTCCCTGTCGCGTGCAAGAGTAGCCCAGTGGGTTCTACTCACTCTAAGGACTCGTTGTTCATTATATCTTTCTTCCAGAGCTTTCGTGAATAACTCTGACCATCGGGTCGGTGGTCTTTCTGCAGTACCTTTGACATCTCGAGGAATCCAGTCACTAACGGCTCTTGTCCATCGGTTATCATTCATACGCATTACGTGACCGGCCCACCTTACCTTCGACTATTTGGCGTACAGAACGGCATCTTTGATTTTTGATCGTTGACGCAGATCGGAGCTTCGGATCCCATACCTTACTTGTGTGGAACGGGATACTCCTAGCGGTGCGTGTAAATAAATAATAAGTAAATAATTTAGAAAGAAAGCCTTTAAGGTGTCTTCGCCAATAATCGTTACCATTTTTTACGTTTGTTCGTCATTCGTGTAGCCGATTATTTGGTATGTATTGGTATTCCCTCTAAAAGTCATGAGGGACTCATAAACACAAGCGTTTTTACGATATCTGCAGACTCTTTCACACTGTTTGTTAACAACTCTGGACTCGTCTTCATTGGTTGTGCGGGCCCCAGCATAATTTCCATATTTCGGAGATTTGCTGGCTAAGCCATTGTGGTTCCCTGGAATCCCGAAGTCGGTCTGGCTATGGTCTGCCTCAGGTCGACACCATCACAGGCAGTCGCAGCCCTAGTGGATCAGAGGGAGATTTCCCACCATGCGACCAGTTTTATGCCGGGGCGGTGGAGGACCCTAGTTTTGGTTTACTCTTAGCTTCCTGGTGAAATCGCCGAACTCCTCCTCAGCTTGGGAGACCCTGCTAGGGGGATAAGTTCCCCCGCTGTACATCGCAGTCCGGCACCCAGGGACACCTCCCAGCCACGATAAGGCAGTAAACCGTTGGGTGGATTAGACTAATACTATAACATTAATATAACGCTATCTGCTATGTGGTTGTGAATATGAGAGGACTGTAAAGGACACTTTGCTCTGTTATTCTGTTGGTATAGGTGGTATTTAAGCTAATTCTCACCAAATGTTACTATGATCCATCATACAAGTGCACTGCTCTCAGGATTTCGAAGTGTTTTACAACTTATTGGGTATGTGTCTGCTTTTTTATACCTACGCGTCCCATTCAATAAACATAGCCCACATCACAGCGATTAAGATGAAATAACATTTACAGGTAGTCAAGTAGGTGGTGGATAGAATTGTTCAAAAAAGGATTTGTGGTTTTCAGTGCAAGCAATCGCTTTTCTGGTTCGACCACTTCGACATTGCTCTGTTATCTACAACCTTGTAAACGATTGCAGCAACTTTAGTAGAAAAAAGGTTATGCTATGTAAAGTGAATCGCGAAGAAAATAATCCTTATAAAGACCATATTAGCCACTCGAACGCCATCTAAGGACGTATGGGTCCATGTCGTCTGATATGTGTTAAAGAACCATGAGCATGACATCTAAGCGTCTAGAACACCAATCAGATAGGGTGACACTTTAAAAGAAATCAATAGGCAACCACATTTTGTGATTAGGCGATTTTCTTCTTCATTTGTACAAAAATCATATAAATGCTTGAAGGTATTAGATCCTGTTTTCGAAGCGTTCACACTACAATTTGGACTTGCAGTATCGGTTCTTTTGACTCACTGAATACTGACATGGTGAGTCATGTCAACCAATTGGTATACAATTCTTAAACACCACCATGAGTTTTGATCTAAAACCATAACTGTATCACTAGGATAAGAGAATCAATACAACTATCACACGAGTTATCGAGAACAAGTAGATAAGAGGCTCTATATAAGGGCTGGAGATTAGGTAATTGCGTTATTTGCATCATAATACTCACTACTCTCTTATACTCTTCGCGATGCAGCCACGTCTGGCTGTTGGTAATCAGGTGACGAAACGTGTGGAACCGATCCGGCATGACACAACAGATGATTACTACGCTGCGTTCGTGGACCAACTAGTTCTAGAATTTCTTTGCATGGAGCTAAATGAGCCACCTGCTGCACAGCTAGCCAAAAAGGCCGGCGATGGGTACGTTTTTTTACTGTTTGTTGAGATGCAATCGGTGCTGAGGTGCAGGTTCTTCTAGAGCTCAGCTCCAGTTCATCAGTAGCATGTTCGATCGCAATCCCATTTTAGAGCAGCTCGCAACGGTAAATTTCACGATTTAAAATTTGTGTTCAGTTTTGATTAGGACATTCCAGAGTGCTGTATCCCAACGACTTGGTGCCACCACACAGCGAAACTTGTCTAGTCAACACGAAAATCGTGAGGAATCCACCATTCCTGTGGGAAGAACTCAGCAGCTTCGTCTGCTACTTCTCATTCGCGAGGTTTTAGAACGCCGTAATATCTTGCGCCAAAACGTAACTACACAGTCGAAGCAAGATGGGTCAATGCGTACACCTACCACTCCTCCCAGTGTGCTTCAGCAAGAAATGAAATCAACTAGTGTTTCGGGACACTGCGAACATTGTGGGAGTGAAAAGCAGCCTACATATCCAACAAACTTGACACAAAACGTGCCTATCGCACAGAATCCAAGAGGTCTGATCACCCATCACGAAAGCGAACTCATCAGAGCGCCGTCCAAAGTCAGCACCACACCAGTCACTGAGCAGCAACGACAAGTTGTTCGTACATCCAAAATCACGGTGAGTGTCATGTGGCAATTTGATTGCCTCTTCGCATTTCAACAGGAAAGTAGCCTTTTTATAGAGGTTTAACTGGGCACTCGACGAAAAAATCAGTTAAGCGCATCTCGCATCTCGCATTCTTGCAAAATCTTTCCTTTCATTCGGACTACAAAGAAAACAGTCGATTGATTAGAAAACGATCAACTAGCTTCTATACATGAATATAAATATTCTTTACATTTGCATGGCATTGATACATGTGATAATGATGGATTAAGCAGTCGAGATTTGTATTAAGGAGGTTTGATGTGGTTTGAAGCAAACGAGGCCGATTTCTAGTTTTGAAAACCATGATAAACGCTTTGGTAGTATGCCAAGCTCCCTACGGACAACGAATGGCGTGTTCGGTTCTGCTTTGGTCAAAAATAGTAAAATTAGTAGGCCTAACAAAAAATGTGATGCTCTTTGTGTCGTTCGACGAAATTGCTCCTATTGAGTCATCAAAATATAAGATTACTAGCACGTTTCAGTTTCCATTAGCCAACGGCTGGGCAACTCCTTTCACGTTAGATTCATTTTCCCGTTGTCCGCATTTTTTAGAGGTGAAATTCCTTTGTGGTGTTCATACAGGATTATCAATCTCATTGAAGATGGATCGTAAGCCCAAAATAATTGTTTGTTAATGCTAAGGTTATGTGGAAGTTGACATTTCCAATTGTTACTAAGTATGTCATTAAGACCAGTTTTTATGAATGCAGGGCGATGAACCTTGCTTCTTGCCCAATTCATGCGCCACCTACTTACTAGTCGATCTCCTCTTCAATTCGCTTGAGATGTTAGGAAACTACGGTATTACTACGAACTGATTTCCTCCCAAGCTCTCAAGCAGTAGGGTGTGGTTCTGCTCCAACAATCGACTGAGCAATATCCTGAATTATTAGGCTAGCACATAAAAAATATAGAATGGTCATCGTGGATGACAGCGGGCCATCTGCGACACTTCATCTTCAAAGTTTTTGGCATTGAAGATTCGGAAAGGGTTTTTGCACCGCTTATTAATTAACAAGATATTTGATCCCTTTGATCCAACCGTAACGCAGAGGATGGACGGCTTTTCGTTCAAGTTAGCTTGAAAGTGAAAATTGGAGATTTTTAGCGATTATCACACGCATTTGTGCTGGTGGCCGTGTCAACCATAATCTTATCGCTTTTCAGGAAAAAGCCACTGAAAGCCATGTCACTATGTCCGTAAAAATTTACATTCCCTCACCTCCACCGTACGTCTTTACATATTTTCTATTTCCAACTTCTTAGCTTAGGTATTGCAATTGAAAGATGAACACTGTTCAGTGGAGTGAAGTGTAGCTATGTTGGACGTCTTATCGGGCCGAATGGAATAACGATTAGGGAGCTTCAACTCGAGACGAGCTGCCACATCGCTGTCCGCGGTAGGGGAAGTATCAAGGTGAATGTTTGACATTCACTGGCTTTGCAAACTTAAACAATGTTGTTTTGTTTAAAACGTAAGGAGTGATCTTCGACGTAAACTTGGGCTATTAATTCTGTTTTCCACACTGCAAGTGGTGGGTCAGTATGAAAGGGATTGGATTGAATAGCATTTCAGGACAGCAAACTTTTTCGTAAAATGCGCTACAAACCAGGATTTGGACATCTCAAGGAGGACACACACGTGCTTGTCGAGGCAACAGCGTCTTCTCGCACGGAGTCAGTGGTGCTGATTCGGTTGTGAAAGTGAAAATGATCAATTGTTTCATTCAGATGTCGTTCTCTTATCGAAAAGGCGAAGACGCGCATATTAGAGATGTTTACACCGGAATTCGATGCCTTAAAACGCAAGCAGCTCATTCATCTTGCTATGCTGAATGGAACCTATAGACAGACTATGCCTTCCAGTCGACCTACGTGAATTCCCACAATTTACCTACGTTGTTACTTCGTCGTGACAGAAAGAATCCGAATTGCCGTTGTTAACTTTATCTTCGAGCCTACTTCTGTGCTATTTTTTCCTTGTGAAATAGAAGCGAAAGTGGATTCCATGCCTATCAATTCTGTTTCCTCCGCCCATCACATCCTTTTACTTTAGAGGAACAAGTTTTATTTTCTAATTACATCTAAGCTTCCAAAACTCACACCTGGTGTTTTGGCATTGTAACGGGTTGTGAGAATTTTTTCGCATTTTCAACTGCTTTTGTTGATTATGTGTGATGAGCTTGAAGATTGGGCAAAGATAATAAATGGATAGAGAGTGTACGTGTATTAGGCAATCTTGAAAAAAAAGATGATTTCGAGTCCTCGTCAGCATCGTTTCAACAGGGATTGATCCTATGCAAGATTGCTGAAAATCTGCAATAAACCTCTGTGCGACCTAGGAAACATGGCGATGCTAGAAAACAACGGTTGATAAGTACATCTTGGTTAAGAAATGTCTAAAACTCCACGGTCCTTTGATTGCCGTGTCGCATAGGATTGGAATGGAACCTCGTGAAATTTGCGCTAGGTGTGATAAAATGATAATAAAAGGCATATCCTCGTGAACATCCCAATCCGTCATCTCTCGTAAACAGCACACGGGTGGTCCAATAGCGAGGAAGATAGGCGTGGGTGCCGAAATGTCAGCCATTGTTAAAACAACAGCAACAGTAAGAACACGCATACCAACCTCGCGTCAGCTAAAAAGGGCAGCTCGTAAGAACACATTTAGAGATAAAAGACGCATCGTGATCAAAATTCTGAACGAAAGACAGGAATTTTCTTTTCAACAACATATATTTTGCCGTGAAGTGAGATCAGCCGTATATCGCAGAATGTAATCTTTCGCATATCGCTGGTAAGGTAACGATAATGAATGGCAAACAACTACCGGTAGGAAGGCGAAGCCTCCGAAAGGTTAGCCATTCAAAAATGAGAGGAGAGCATGAACAACCTCATATCAACTAGTCAAGAGATGTAATAACATCGTGACTTTACATTGCAGTGAAAGAGCTACTTCACAGAAATTTGAAAGTGTCTCTGTATCTTGGTGCTCCAGTACGGCCACCCGAGTAACTACTAGGGCATGTGTAAACACAAGACGAGTGAACGATTATGTCTACTCTAAGGTGTCCACCTCACATTTTTCCTTTTTTTGCTTCAGTGGACATCACATACTGCTCTGGCTCAAACATATTTCAATTCGATTCGTTTCCTCGCACCCATCACTCATAAAGGTTTTCTAACTGTTCTTTGTGCGTAGCTTAGGCTGCTTCTTCAGGACACTTTTGTCCTCGCTGAAAGCAGTGCTGCGGTGCTCCCACGTAGACTAAGGCGACTGAACTTCTCCCGGACAAGTCAGGTGTCAACCTACCGAGCTCTAAGGGGATGACAAGTTTGATGGGCTCGAAGCAGGCTCGAGCTCGAACCTTACAAACAGTTGTAAATAATTATTTGCAGTCAACGGCTTCCACTTAACACCTAAAATTCCTATTTGTAATCAACAATTTTAAAAAATCTTTAGCGGGGCGTGTGGGGCAGTGGTTGGTGACGCCCTGCAGCACATATGGCATCGACCGACGCGCTCCAGCCTCACCAAGTCTTCCATCCTTTCGGGGTCGGCAAATTGGTAGCAAAATTGTCTGCGTGGAGAACAGCACTGGTTCGATAGGTAGGCCTCTGCGAGCCACTGTAGAGGCCAGATATGCGTTCAATCACCTTCAACGATGTCTAATGAAATCGAGTGCACGGTACACTCCTAAGAGATTGATCAACGCCAAGAGCTTTATCCTTTATCCTTTTAATCAGCAATTTTAAACAACCAACTGATCAGTTTTTGCTTAAGTGCCCGCATTACTTTTTTCGTTGCACTGCCTGACGAAAGTCTTTCTATTACCTCACCTTAGACTGGCGCGTGTGGCGCAGTGGTTGGGGGCGCCACTGCGACACACACGTGGAATCGATTCCCGTACCCATGGACCACAAAGCCTTCCATCCCTCTGGGTTCGGTAAATTGGTATCAAACTTGTTTGGGAGGATAGCAGCACTGACTCGACACATCGGTATGCCACCGCGAGTTATTTTAAAGACCAGATTTGCATTCAATCACCTCTATTTATACTTAATGAAGTCGAATTCATGGCGCATCCCTCAGAGACTGATCAACACCGAGAGCTTTATCCTTTATCCTTTACTTCACCTTGATTACGTAGATAGATCTCGCTTACATAACGTGTAGCTTCAATGAAATGTGCATTTCACTGGCTTGGAATTTCGTTATGGTCTTAACCTAGCCATTGTCGAAGTCGAATCTTTTCTTGATCAAAGAGTGGATCGCTCTCTTGTAGTTGGAATTTCTTGCGAAGCCGTGGGTTTGTAGAAATAAACTTACTACTCCTAGATCCCAATCTTTGGAAAGGTGGTTAGAAATTATCTACGATAGCCGTGCTAGTTATTACCCCAAAAATGTGTAACTCGGGGTCTTCAGAATCTCATGGGAGTTAAGTCCGTAAAGAATCAGCAAAGGAGTAACGCGTTGACGTCAGTTGAATCACCGTATGATTTCATGAGGTTGGCGCAGCCGTGCTCGACTTAGGTTGAATTGCTGGGGAAGGAAAAAGAATTTCGAAAATAATGGGCTACAAGTAAGTTTGCGATAAGAATGTGAAAAAAATTGTCGAAGAATCGTGAAGTAACGATTTATTCAAAATAAACATGTTCATTGCCATCGTATTTTTATTGACCAAAAGTCAAAAAGCTACGGTACTAGCAAGTTAAAAATTTTTGTATCTACTAGAACCTTAAATGCTGCGTTTGCAATGAAAAAAACAGTGTCCAGAAGAGGGAATTTTCATTGCGCATACGTTAATCCATCGGTTTGCCAATGTTGAACGCTAGACGATCTTGTCCGAATCGAAATCAGTCGGAGAAATTGTTCTGAGACGATTTTGAAATTTGTTTGTCAAAATTTGAATCAGTACATTTATTTTAAATAGCAGAATTTTTGTAAAATCCAACTGCATCGATCCCTGGGGAATTTCAAGGATTGCGCATTGAAACACATAAGGCGCTTGTGGCGCAGTGGTTAGAGGCGCCACTGCGACACACACGTGGCATCGATCTCTGCGCCCATGATCCGGCAAGCCTTCCATCCCTCCGGGGTCGGCAAATTGGTACCAGACTTGTCTGGGAGAATATCAGCACTGGCTGGATACATCGATAGGCCGCCGCGAGTCATCAAGGCCGGATATGCGTTCAATCACCTTCAACGATACTTAATGAAGTCGAATGCATGGCGCATCCCACAGGGCCACAGGGGATGACCAACGCCGAGAGCTTTATACCTTTTATCCTCTTAATAGGGCTTTTGCGGATTTTGCAAGAATCGTGCTTTTATTCACTCACAATTGATCAACGCCGAAAACCTTCTTTTTTTATCCTTACCCTCCCTGTTAGTGCGTACTGCCTTGTCATGGTTGGAGCTATGGCCCTGGTCGTCGAACTATGAAGTGCAGTTGTTCGCCCTACTAGGTAGATCTTACTAGATGGGGAATTCGAGCCCGGCTTACATCAATTCATCTCAGTAATAGCTACTATCTTGGTTCTGACCTATTCTTAGGGTGGTAGGTTTATAAATTTGTTTCAGAGTTCGGCGACTATTCGTATTAACGAATATGAAGAGCCGCAATGAAACTGGCCGGGAAAAAAATCTCTTCCTAAAAATCATAGAAAATTACCAGTTACGTAGAGCGTGTTTCTAGATGATTTCTTGTGATGAAGGGCCACTAAGTGTCCGGCGAATGCTGCTGTATTCTATTCCATCTCTGGAAGTTCAGTCCCTCTACTTCATTTTGCTCAACTTGTAGCTCAGCTGTATACATGGCATTATAACACTGTTGTAAAATAGATTTAAAACATGGAAAACAAAGTCAGAATTTAGATTTTGTTTGGGGATATTTCACAAATAAATAGATAAATCCATTAAGACGTTTATACGCAACTACAAATTTAGTCCAATCATCAAGAGTCTCCAGCTGAAAACAGTGAAGCTTTCACTTGTTCCTGTTATAGGCCAGAGGTCTTAGGGCTGCTCCACACGTTCACGGGAATGCGAGGAAAAGCGTGTCATTGTCGACCGAAGCCCTTTCTCGTTGTTTTTCTCGGCGAGAAGATAATCCCAGGTAGCACATTGACGTTGCTGTGTTAAGTTGCATTCCAAGGATTTTAGGACATGAATTTAATACATAACTGCGACCTTAGCCGACCTCTTGTATTACAGCATTCATTTTATTCAGCAGTTGACCGGTTATAAGGCAGCGGCCTATGGTGTCTTTATTGGTAACTGCGCAATTCTCGTATTTCGTGAGGCACCTGATTTTGCTATCCAGACTGCAACAGGCTATGACATCAGCACCGTAGTACTGTGCACGAGAGTTTGTTTCTTAAACAGTCCCCTGATTTCTTCGCGCCATTTAATTTCCCTTTTTACAGTAGCGTAGTCGTGGAGTCAAAAAGGTGGGCATAGAGCTGGATGTTCTTTCTCTTCACCATACTCTCGATGCTCTTGGAAAGCCAGAGACATAACGGAGGATGTTCGCATATGGAAGTGATCCTTCTCGCACAAGAATGTGCGTTATGGACAAAGTCCAAAAATCCAAAAATCAACTGCAAGGAGTACCTGGTGATCACGCGTAACCTTGCTCTATACCTCAAGTAAATTTCTTTACCTAAAGCCAGGCACATTCTTCACAATGTAAACTCTGTGTGGCCCGTTTACAACAATAAGGGAAGATTTACAACTGAAAAATCTACGAGTGTTCAATGGTGATTGCTTGAATAAAAAGGTAAACAGGTAGGATTTCACTACACGAATTCAGCGAGCAAGAAGAAAAAGAAAAAACCCTTCTTCTTCTATTCCTTCTGGAAAAGTGGAACTAG